CCGATGGATGCGCAGCAGTGAGAAAGATTCCCGCTGCCCCGACCGCAGTGGAGGCTTCAACCATCACTCTGACCTCTTGATCCTGGAGCAGAAACCCTCCATTCGCCTGGGTCACCCCAAAAGCTTCACCTCCAGCACCCAACTCGTGCGGCATCGGCAGATCCATTGTGAGGAGAAGCCATAGGGTTGCGCCAAGTGCCACAAGAGCTTTTGGCACAACTCCGGTCACGTCTTGCATCAGAAATGACACCGGCCGAAGATGGAGACCACCCAACCGGGGACCATCCACCTCCTGGTGGCATCTCAGACCTACCTACATGTGACGGTGGTCCCCGGTGGTGGGCCCGAGGGGAAACCAACCCATCCACCCACATCCACCAGCTATTGGGTTTCTTTCACTACATGTTTTTGTATATATAGAAAGAGGTTTTTTGGGGGTGTTTTTAGAAAAAGCCACCCCCATCCTCTGTTCATTTGCCTTAGCGATGAGGGGAAGCGAAGGGAGAGCCATGAGCTTCACCCAAGAAACAAGAAATCACGGTAAAATGGGATGTTTCTTGATGTCTTGGTACCGTTTCTTGATGTTTTCAACCATGTTTAGGGTTTTTTTTGAGGAAAGGGGCTGGACAGAAAGGAAATTACAGCCAAAATAAATCATTTGAGTGTTTTCATCATGTGAGTGTCTCTGTGGTGGTGACGCAGTGGGGACTGTGTGGGTGGAAGTGTCTTTTTTTGAGGGGAAAACTGAAAAGTTTCCCCAGTTTTGTGGTTGTGGGAGCATTTTCTGCACCTGTAGAGTGGGAGCTGGGGTGGAGACCCTGAAACTGGGATTGGACTCTCCATCCCTCTCCAGTTCCCTGGGACAAGGATGAGGGTTCAAACCAAACCGTGGATGAGATGTATTTGGCGCCGCATCCTTCCAAACCATGAACACCGCGAGCCCACGTGTCCTCCTCACCCTCCACCCATCCACGTTGTCATCCCACCACTCCCATCCTTGCAGCACCAGTGGGAAAACTCAACCCTAGAGATGGCCAAGCCCCAGCCTGCTTGAAAACGAGGTGTTTTGGGTTCAACGAGGCCAAACCAAGGAGGTGAGTGGAGGAGAAGTTTCTTGTAGCTGCGTTCTTGTTTATTTTTGGCAGAACAAAGGGAGGAAGAGAAGGACGTGGAGTTGGGCTGTGCCCATCTGCATCGCTAAGATGTTTCCAGAGCCTCTTCTGAAGCCCTTTGGACAACTCAAGAGTTTATTCATCCAAAGATGAAGCGTAGATGGGCGGGACAGAGGTTGCACCGTGCCATCGAATAACATCACGTGAAGAAAAATGAGCAGTAAATGAGGAAGAACTTGGCCTGGTGGGTCCCAACAGGGTTGTGGGATCATTTTCATCCCTTTTCTTCCTTTCAGAAGAAGAGTCCCATGCGGTATCTTCAAAATCTCGCTCTGTGCCCAAATCCTTCTACCATTTGCTTGTGGGAGAAGCCCGTGGTCCATGTGGTGTTGCTTGATGCCACCAGAAAAATGTATTGACCGATCAGATGTGACTTTTTGGGGTCTAAAGCCCATGAGTCTGCTCTTCCTAATGAAATTCTGCCATTGGTTTGCGTCCCGCAGCAGAGCCCACCTCAGCAAATGGACGTTCCTATCCGCATTCGTCCAGGTCCCTATAGGGAATCAGGATGACGTGGGCACCCCCAGCCATGTGTCTACCCAACGTGGGTCACCAGGTCACTATCCAACGTTGCTCCTCCAATAGGTTATGAAGTTCAAACAGCGGATAAAGCCCTTCCCGCAGTCGGGGCACTCACAGGGCTTCTCTTCCTGGTGAGTCCTTTGGTGTTTAAGCGAAGCAGAACCCATGGTGAAGCTCCAGCCGTACTCGGGACACTTATAGGGCTTCTCCCTTATGTGGATGCGATGGTGGATCGTCATATTGGAGCGTCAGTTGAAGTCAAGATCAGAGGGGTCATCTCCAAGGGGGATCTCATGGTAGGCACCTACTACCGACGTCCAAACCAAGACAATAAGGCCAACAAAATAATATTTGGGTCACTTAAGCAAAGTTCAGGTCAACAGAATCTGGTTCTTATGGGTGATTTTAACAAACTCCATTCGGAGGGATTCTGTGGGAATCTTCCATGGAGGACAGACGAGTTAACGAGCGCTGGGAGAAGACCGCTCCAAACCACTTCATCCCCTTTAAAGGTCAGGGAAGTACGCGGAGCAAGAGACCCCCTTGGCTTAACCGCAACCTTCCGAGTCTGCTCACAACCAAAAGCGAAGCGAACCGAAGATGGAAGAGCG